CTCTAATAAATTTGTTGCTCCTTCAGTGTTTCAAAGAGGTCATGTTGTTCAGCTATTTTTTTCTGCAAGATCTGATGGCAGAGATCATGAAAATGAATGCCCTGCTTTCTTCCAAATGCAAGAGTTGAGTTATATCGTTACACAGACTCAGTGTTGTCTGGATTTACTAAAAACTTTTCAGCTTAAATTTCCCCCTCTTTGTGCACATTGAAGTTCTGTAAGTGGCAAAGCATTTTTTCAGAAAAGAATCTGTTTTGAAGATGACTTTGGTTTATAAAACTAAAGCCCTTTGTGGAATATGACAAGGTTTGCTAGAGCTGGGATATCCTCTGCGTTTTGGAACAAGAGGGCTGCTTCTACTGCTGCTGTCCTTCGCAGCTGCCCAGGCACTTGGATTGCCCTCCCCTGAGACTCTGATGCCATGCTGGAGGAGCACGGAAACTTGGTGGCTCTGAATTTGCATTTCTCCGCAGCCCTCTGCAGAAGAAAATGCTTGTGTTCCTGGATTGGTGCTATAGAACCCTCATTTGCTCCTTTGTGGCATACAGAACAGCTTTTCATTAAAGGAGATCAGGGATAATTAGCCACATTATTTTGACAAGTTGGTTCGAGCAGTTCTCTTTCTTCCAGTGTTGAGGAGAGGGAGAGAGCAAGGAGTGAGCAGGGCTTGTTTCATGTTACTGGGCTCTTTCCCAAGTGCAGGCACTCTACAGAAGGGCTGCCCTGCAGAGTGGCTCCTTGCTGCACACCGCTACCACTGGACTGTAAAACCCACATGCAAGGTATTGAGTAGGGCACTCAGTGGGTGGGGCATTTATTTAGAGAAATGGAGAGGTTTAGGTGGCAGATTCAAGTAGGTGTGCTGCTCTGCAAAATGCAGGGAAGGTGCTACCTTGTGACCTTATTTAATGCCAAAGCCAATGTAAGGCAGGTATGTGGAGCATAGGGCTGAAGCAGACCTGTGCCCTTGCATGATGAAAATGTGTGAGAGGCAAAAAATTGAAAGGATACACAAAACCAGCTTATTTTCCTGCAAGTTGGTTTTGTTCCCTGTTCTGCCATGCTCAGCTCTCTCCTAGTCCCTAACAAGTAAACTGAAGGGTACGCACTTCATTTCAGTGTTGGTTCTTTATTAAGGAAATTGGATGCTCATGCAGTGCAATCTTCTTGGTGGCATGGCCACAGGCAATGGGCAACCTGGAAAAATGTATTAAAATAAAATCAGTGCTACCCATTATTAACCTCTCTCGAATTTGATCCTTCATCTGGCTGGGGGAAGTATGAAGCTCTGCAGTATTAGGGGTTATAATGCAGTACCTTTGAGAACAAAGGTGACCTAAGTAAGAGGCGGAGCCTTACAAAATGAAGTTATTTGTGTATGACCAAATCCCTGAGATTTTTGTATGCCAGCTCTGGCTGTCCAAGCATTGGGAGGACCAGGTATAAAGGATTTCAGATTGCAGCCACTCTAGCCAAGGAGACACCTTCACAGGCTTTCACCCACAGAGCAAGTCTGACATACAAAATCTGTGGGATCCTTGCGAATTGTTGAAGCTAGAAAAAAAATCCCTTAGTGTGGAAGAACAGTTCTGGGTACACAGCCAGCAGTGCTTACAAATCTAAATAAGGGCAGATTGATTAGGAAAAACATTATCGCTAGGAATGTAGCACTCAAGTATCAGCTATGAGACAAACTGGGGGCAGCCACAGCTCTGACCACCCAAGTGGAGACTTTTACACTGACACTTCTTCCTTAAGGAAAAAAGCAAAAAACAAAACCAAGGTGTGGTGAGTTGACCCACCCCCTTGCCACATACACCCAATAAATAAGGCCAATTAAATCCCTGCAGTAATTCATCTCTTGCATATGCTAAAAAAAAAAAACAAAACAAAAACAACATCCCTCCAGACCACAGGGAGAGAAGGAAGATTAAGATAGCACTTGTTAAATTGAGTCTTCAGATCGAGTTTTGGAACCAAGAGCAAGAATTTAAGTGCACTGGTCTATTTTGTGAAGCCCTGAGATGTCAGCCTAGCAGGCAAGAGGCAGGCAGGGAAGGTCTGAAGGCTCATGGTACTTGAAGAGACAGTCTTCTATGGTTTTTGAGGCTGAGCCAAAATACCTGTCCACCAGTCCCTTCATTCCCTGTCTCTCAGCCCTGCCACCCTATTAGACCTGGTCAGGTTGAATAGGAGCAGGAGCAATGGCACATTGGTTCCTAATGAGAAGCACAGTTATTTTCCCCAAGCTGAAACTTGAATAAGAGGTGGTTGACTGCATCTTAGGTGTGGATTTCATCCTCTAACTGAAACCAGCCTCTGGCTCCCTTAAGGTTTCTTTCTCTCATGTTTGTGTATGTACATGTGTGTGCTGCTCCCAGCAGTTTTCCTGGAGACAGCTCAGTAAGGAGCACAAGGCCTGGCCTTCAAAGATGCAGATTTCCCTTGAAATCAAAAGACTACAGGGAAGCGTGGGAAAAAGTAGGGGGGAGTGGGAGAAGGGAGAGGAAAGGAAAGAAGATCCCCCACTGGTGACAGTGACCCTGGAAAACCCCTGTCAATGGGTGCCACTATGTAATTTCACAAAAAGACTCTCTGCACAGGTGGTGAGGTGCATAGGCAGCTCCTAGCGCTGGGGCTTTGTGGCTCGCAGCCCTGCCGGGGGAGACCCGCTGCCGGTGCACCACGCCTGCAAAACAGCCACCCACC